GGTGCTTATCTCGCTTTATTGGCTGAGGGAGCCGGCGTACAGCTTCCGGGTCATGTGGCCAGCATGACTAAGCCGCTTCTGGAGAACCAGAGCAGTGCACGGAATCGCCGTTTACCTTCCCGCTGGAGCGGTACCTATTTATCTACTTGCACTTTGATGAGCTTTCGAACTGCTAGGTTGGCAGGAGCAGGGACTGAGCAACGGGAGCTCACCCCGTTGCGGGGATTTGAACCGCCAACCTTCTGAACAGCAAGTTCTAGGCTCTGTAGTTTAACCCACAGTGCCACCTGCGTCCCATCAAAGACTAAGGCTTACCTAATGCCTCAACTGCCAAAATTTTGCAAAACCAAAAGACAGAGCCAATTAGTCCAGCAGACAAATTCCTACAAAGACCTACATTGGTTCCCAGTACGCTTCCAAGCACAATTCAAAGTGTTGGTGCTGACCTTTAAAGCCCTAAACGGCCTTAGCCCAGTATACCTGAAGAGCGTCTCCACCACCATCGTTCAGCCCGGACACTGAGGTCCAGCTCCGAGGGCCTTCTGGCGGTTCCCTCACTGCGAGAAGTGAGGTGACATGGAACCAGGCAGAGGGCCTTCTCGGCAGTGGCACCCTCCCTGTGGAACGCCCTCCAATCAGATGTCAAGGAAATAAACAACTCTTTGACTTTTGGAAGACATCTGAAGGCAGCCCTGTTTAGGGAAGTTTTAAATGTTTGATGTTTTATCCCTTTTTATTCTTGGGAGCCGCCCTGAGTGGCTGGGGAAACCCAGCCAGATGTGGTATAAATAATAATAATAATAATAATAATAATTATTATTATTATTATTATTATTATTATTATTATTATTATTATTCAGGAGAAGTATGCATTGTGTGTGAGGCTTCAGAAGACAATCTAGAAGTCAGCCCCAAAGCTTTCAGCTCTGATCTGGGACCTGGCAGCTGCAGTCTGGTGATCTCTCACTCCCTCTCCTGTGTATCTTTGGTAAAGTTGAAAGTAACAGCACTTTGACAGTTGCGTGATATTGTTGTAAACAGAACCTGCCCTTACGTATCCATAGATACTATTCCAGCTGCTGGTGCAAATCTGCATTCCCCCAGTCTCAGGATTGCCAAAGTGTTTCAAGGAGGAAGTCTAAAATTCCTACCCACTGGCTCTCTCATGCAACATCCTGTTTTAGACTTAACTGGCTGGCACTACACATTCCACAAACTGGGGCTGATTCAAGTATGTGAAGTATCTTGTTATTCCTGCAGCCATCCCATGTGTATTTTGGCTTTCTGAAGTGCTGGTCTCTATGACGAGGTAAACATCAGGCTCCAAGCTTAAGTGATGAGAGGGGGAAATGGTCTATTTACAGACTTTCCTGGTAAGTAATATCTTTAGACTATGCCCACCAGATTCCATCTTTCCATATGTTGTGGAAATATTCTAGCACGTTTTATGCACGTGTGACTATAGAAAGCCTTTTTATGGTTAGTCCTGTGGGATTTTCACCTTTTTTCAATAGGGCCTGCCGAGGCTCCTGGAAGTCAGCGAGAAACAATCATTGAAAACGTAAGCCGAGAGCAAGAACTGCCCAGCTCTAGCAAGAGGAATAAATTGCTGACTCACTGACAAGACTCATTGTGTGAGCTGCTGTTATTACACACTGTTCTTTGTGGAGGGTACAAACCTAGAAGCAAGGAAGAAGAAGAAGAAGAAGAAGAAGAAGAAGAAGAGTTTGGATTTGATATCCCGCCTTTCACTCCCCTTCAGGAGTCTCAAAGCGGCTAACAATCTCCTTTCCCTTCCTCCCCCACAACAAACACTCTGTGAGGTGAGTGGGGCTGAGAGACTTCAAAGAAGTGTGACTGGCCCAAGGTCACCCAGCAGCTGCATGTGGAGGAGTGGAGACGCGAACCCGGTTACCCAGATTACGTGACTACCGCTCTTAACCACTACACCACACTGGCTCTCGAGAGAGATAACCCAGCCAGTTTCCTTGTAGACAGGATTTTTAAGATCATGGGCTGAACAGCTCTTGAACATTGTTCAGTCCGTAAACTGCTGCAGAATAAAATAATTCAGTTTCCTAGATTTTAATGCTGAAGTAGTACAGGACAAATGCCATTCCTGCAAAAGGATATCTCTTCAAAGCGCTGGTTTTTACTTACAAAGCCTTAAATGGCTAAGGACCACGATGTCTCTCCCCATATGAACCAACGCCAACCCTTCAATCACCACTCTGAGGTCTTTCTTTGTGTGCCTCCTCCACAAGTGATCCGAAGGGTGGCAACATAAGAATGAACCTTTTCTGCACCTTCATTACACATCTTTAGGCATCAGGCAAAAACCTTCCTCTAAGGTTGCCATATGTCCTCTTTTTCCAGGATACGTCCTCTTTTGAATGGGTATGTAAAATCAGAGCCATCATAGTGATCCCCAGTTAAAAGTAAAAGGTAAAGGTAAAGGGACCCCTGACTGTTAGGTCCAGTTGCGGACAACTCTGGGGTTGCTGCGCTCACCTCGCTTTACTGGCCGAGGGAGCCAGCATTTGTCTGCAGACATCTTCTGGGTCATGTGGCCAGCATGACTAAGCCGCTTCTGGCGAACCAGAGCAGCGCACAGAAACGCCGTTTACCTTCCTGACGGAGTGGTACCAATTTATTTACTTGGACTTTGACGCGTTTTCAAACTGCTAGGTTGGCAGGAGCAGGGAGCAAGCAACAGGAGCTCACCCCATTGCGTGGATTCGAACCACCGACATTCTGATCGGCAAGCCCTAGGCTCTGTGGTTTAACCCACAACGCCACCCGTTTCCCTATCTAGTTAAAAGTAAAACTCAGCAGATATGTCTTCTTTCTTGCTCTTCAAAATATGGCAACCCTACTATAACCAGGCCTTCAACCTTTAACTAACTGTGGCATTTTTATTAAAGAACCACTGTGAAGAGTTTCTGCACTAGGTAGGGGAATTAGGAGGAATACGGTGAACTTGTAAGTTAACATATGAACAACCTTCACCCTTAAGATGCTTTTCAAGACCTTCTCATTTCTGTTATTCCAGATCTGGAAACAGGCGAGGAGGGGCAGAAATGAGTTGGCAGTGGATTATCTACTGACACTATCTATTGAACTTATTTTACATAGGAAACTAGCGGTCTATGCTCTTGCAACAATGGTGGGGCAGAGCTCTATTGCAAATGAATATGAAGACTAAAGCTCTCAGGCTAAGATGATGAAGTAGGCATTATAAGCTCAGAGGTCAGGCAGTTTTTTGTGATACTGATTTGCATTCTCCTTGTTTTTATTCTCTTGAGATGCCCACTCGAGTGTGATGAATGTTAATTGTATGCACCGCGACGTTTCTGTGAGAAAGGCCACTTGTGATGGAGTCAGACTGGTTATCTCTTGAAAAATATTCCTCCAAGTGATGCTCAAAAGCATCGAAGTGAGTTTGCTGAGCCTGGGTAGAGCTAGAAGATTTACAAAGGGAGCCAGGTAAGTTTGCATATATCTAAAGGGTTCCTCCTACTTAACCGTACAGTGGTACCTCGGGTTACATACGCTTCAGGTTACAGACTCCGCTAACCCAGAAATAGTACCTCAGGTTAAGAACTTTGCATCAGGATGAGAACAGAAATCGCACTCCTGCGGCGCGGCAGCAGCGGGAAGCTAAAGTGGTGCTTCAGGTTAAGAACAGTTTCAGGTTAAGAACGGACCTCCGGAACGAATTAAGTACTTAACCCAAGGTACCACTGTATTCGTGTTTTCTTAAAAGCCTGAGTCTGTGCTCTCCTGCAAAACATTAGGGAAACATGGTGCAAGACTGCAAAAAATGGTAAAAAGGAAACGCTTGTAGCATGGCCTCCCCTTCATGGAAGTGAGTCTGTAGCCAGCTGTGCCGGCTTAGACCAAGGGGCATTGTAGTCCAAAATATCTGGAAGGCACCATTTTGGGGAAGGCTGATGTTGCATTTTGTCATACATTTACTGACCAAAAAAAAAAAAACACACCAAAACAAACCTGGTAGAAGGGGGATTCAAGGAAGAGTAAGACACCTATGTCTCCCCGGTTTCGATTTAGGATGCCATTTAATTGAAGCATGTCACCAGTTCGTCTCCATGCCATCCAGGAATATAAAAGCATCGCCACAGAAAAGCAACTTCCAGGCGGCTGCTTAATCACTGCTGAAAGTGGTCATTGCAATCTCTCACAATGCAGTCTTAAAACTGGTTAGAAAGTCACTAAACCCCACTGGAATTTGTGGGATTTAATACAAAGTCAAGGATTTGGACTGAAGTGTTAAAGGCACAGAATTTGGAGGCAAGGCTTCTGTGGAAATCATGGAAACTATTTGCCAGTTAATCTGCTCAAAAGTCTCTCATCCCCACACACTTCAGCAAGGCCTCTTTTGCTATGGCCTGCTTCCCTACATATCAACGTAGTCTCTTGTCTGTGAATTATCAAGCTCCGGGCTCACTGTTCTCTAGTGTTCAGAAACAGAGGGGAAACTGGTATAGCGTTTTGGCCTAGGTGTGGGTTAGAAAGGCCCTGGTTTGAAGTTATCATCTGCTGCAAATGCCTCTCAAACAAACTCCTCTTTCTGAGCAGCTGCCACCTGCAATACGGTCGTACCTTGGAAGTTGAATGGAACCCGTTCCGGAAGTCCAAAATGTTCAGAAACCAAAGTGCGGCTTCTGATTGGCTGCAGGAAGCTCCTGCAGCCAATTGGAAGCCGTGGAAGCCCAGTTGGACATTTGGTATCCAAAAGAACGTTCGAAAACGGGAACAGTCATTTCTGGGTTTCAATTGTTCGAGAGCCAATTTGTTCAGGAGCCAAGCGTTTGAGATCCAAGGTATGTGTATGTGGATAAAACTGACCCCCTCACCTAACAGCGTTGTTCAAAGTGTTTGACACTTCCTCAGTAAACCTTTCAACTGTCTGAAGTGCAACTCAGCTGCACAGCATAGATACTTGAGAGCCGATACTGCGAATAACCAGCAAAACATGCTTTCTTATGCATAGGCTTTATTGATTTGAAGTCTGACAACCAGTTACACCGGGCTGAGATCTCCTTGGGAAACATGCTGAAATAGCAGCAGGCAGTACCACACTTCTCTGCGACTGGATCTTCCTTCCACAGTATTGCAGAAAGAACGAGGCAAGCTCAGGCTAGTCATGCTTATCGCTGGGCACTCTCAGAACCTGACTTGCGCGCGGAAGTGCATCTGCTTTGTAGAGTTATTCTGCATGCTGGTCTTCAGCATCCACTTGGCCTTCATCCTCTGAAGGTACTGCATGTCACGCTCTCGAGCCAGTGCTGCTCCTGAAGTTATGGAGAAAGAGCCAACATTCAAGGTAAACGTAAAGGACCCCTGGACGGTTAAGTCCAGTCAAAGGCGACTGTGGGGTTGCGGCTCTCATCTCGCTTTTCAGGCCGAGGAAGCTGCTGTCTGTCCACAGACAGCTTTCCGGGTCATGTGGCCAGCAGGACTAAACCGCTTCTGGCGCAACGGAACACCATGACGGAAACCAGAGCACACGGAAATGCTGTTTACCTTCCTGCCACAACAGTACCCATTTATCTACTTGCACTGGCATGCTTTCGAAGTGCTAGGTTGGCAGGAGCTGGGACAGAGCAATGGAAGCTCATTCAATCATGGGGATACGAACCACCGACTTTCTGATCGGCAAGCCCAAGAGGCTCAGTGGTTTAGACCACAGTGCCACCCGACTACCCCTTCCAACATTCAACACTTAACCTGAAGGCAAAGCAAATTTTACGATGAACAGAAGCACCCAGTCCTACAATGATGTCTGCACAGGTCTAGCAGCTTGCTACATAAAATGCAGTTGATGTTGGGAGATGTGTTAAATTTGGGCCCAGGAAGCATGCCTAAATTGGGCAATCAGTTAAATCTAGCCCAGCATTCTGTTTCTAAAAGCAGTTAGCCAGAAACCTCTAAAAATTCCCAAAGAATACACACACACACACACACACACACACACACACACACACACACACACAAACACACACCTGGGCCCAGAGGGAAGTAACAGAATGCCTAGCCCAGGCATGTCCAAAGTCCGTTTTTGGGGGCAGTTATTTTCCTGGGATAAAACTTTAATCCTCAACAACTTTGGGGTAAAATTGTATGGCAGTTTATTTCCTGGGGTAAAATCCCCCCAAAAGCTCAACAACTTCAATCCTAAAAAAAGTTCAATAACTTTGGTTGGCCCTCACACATGTTCACTTCATCAAATCTGACCCTCTTTGAAAAAAGCTCTAGACAGATGCTAAAGGTAAAGGTCAAGGGACCCCTGACCATTAGGTCCAGTCGTGGCCGACTCTGGGGTTGCAGCACTCATCTCGCTTTATTGGCCGAGGGAGCCAGTGTACAGCTTCCAGGTCATGTGGCCAGCATGACTAAGCCGCTTCTGGCGAACCAGAGCAGTGCACGGAAACGCCGTTTACCTTCCCGCCGGAGCGGTACCTATTTATCTACTTGCACTTTGACGTGCTTTTGAACTGCTAGGTTGGCAGGAGCCGGGACCGAGCAATGGGAGCTCACCCCATCGCGGGGATTCGAACCGCCGACCTTCTGATTGGCAAGTCCTAGGCTCTGTGGTTTAACCCACAGCGCCACCCATGTCCCAGACAGATGCTACACACATGGAATTAAGAGAAACCAGCTCTTTGAAAAGGTATACCAACTAGTTCAGAATAAGAGAGAATAGCAGGCAGCTACTATAATTGGCTACTTCCAGGAAAATGTCCCTTCTTATGGCTGAAAGAGATGCCTCTCAAAGACAATGGCTAGTAACTGTATTGATATAACACACTAATGCTGTTTGCTTACCTGTGCTGCTTGTCCATCCCAGAGCTTTATATTGCTGCAATACTCTGCCCACAGCGTGTTTATTTTTAGAAACAGCCACAGCTCTTGAAGCACCAAACCGCTGCTTATAGTATCTCATCAATGAACGGTGACCGATCCGGGCACCTTTGTAAGAAGGAAATGTGAGTATTAAAGCAACAGAGTAACTTTTAAAACAAAAGTAAACTGGAAAATGGGGTTATCATTAGCCACAGAATCCCAGAAACTCAGAATCCCATAAGGAAGTGGTTCCTAATTGCGGGAATGCGTAACCCACTCGGGGGATCCGTGAAACCATTTACATAGCAAAAACTACCATAGAGATATCAACGTTTTCAAAAGTAGAGGGTCCATGGCTTGGCTTCTGAAAAACAGGGAGTCCATAGTACTTAGCTAACTGGGAACCACTGCCATAAGGGAGGGTAGACGTAACTGTAAATAACATACTATATAAAGAACATGTAGAGATTTATATCATACCTTCCAGATCTGCAAGGGGCAGCTTACTATACCAAACAAGACTAAACAATGTACAGTGGTACCTCAGGTTTTGAACGTAATCCATTCCGGAAGACTGTTCCAAGTTCCAAAACGTTCGAAAACTCAAAATGGAAGCCTCAATACGGAAAACTCAGTACGGAAGCCATGTGGCATGTTCAACTTCCGAGGCTTGTTCAAAAACTGAAGCTTTTACTTGCGGGTTTACGCCGTTCGAAAACTGAAATGTCCATCAATGGAGATGTTTGAAAACCAAGGTACCACTGTAGACTAAAATCCAGTTAAGAAGAACTCCACATGGAATACGGCAGACCCTGGTTGTTTATAATACAGTGGTACCTCGGGTTACATATGCTTCAGGTTACATACTCTGCTAACCCAGAAATATTACCTCAGGTTAAGAACTTTGCTTCAGGATGAGAACAGAAATCATGCTTTGGCGGCGCGGCGGCAGCAGGAGGCCCCATTAGCTAAAGTGGTGCTTCAGGTTAAGAACAATTTCAGACCTCCGGAACGAATTAAGTACTTAACCCGAGGTACCACTGTACGTACTTAGGCACAAGGCAAACCTAAACATTTCACCAGGATGCTAGACTGAACAAGCTTGCATATCTCTAGCACCAACAAACTATGGGTGTATAGAAAAACCCAATTCCACAGAAAGACCTATCTTTTACTTCCTTAAATCAGGGATTGGGCAGGGGGGGTGGACCTGCAATCCAGCCACCAGCTGTTCAGCATGGAGAAGGTAAAACAGGTTTTTGATGATGTGTAAAGCATACAATTGCAGCTCCCTCCTCTGCAAACGGTTCTGCTGTGAGAATATCATGGTAGAGAGGGAAATGTCTGAGCAGGGAGAGACAGATTTGTACTCCTTGCAAATATGCAAAAAGTTATCCATGTATTTTGTAGCTGCATGCCTGCATGAAAGCTTTAGGATGCAAATGTTTAGTAATAGTGTTAGTAGTAATAATAATTTTTATTATTTATACCCCACTCACCCGGCTGGGTTTCCCCAGACACTCCAGGTGGCTTACAGCACATAAACAATTGTAAAACATTAGACAGAGCTTGCAGTTCTGCTTATAATCTGCATTCTTCTGCAGGACTTGCAAAGTCTTTCGCTTTCTGCATAGGCAGGACAGGTTTTTAGGGGGGGAAAGTCCCAACACCCTTTAACACAGTTTGGAAAAAACTATTCACAGAGAAAATGGACAGTGAAGCTCGAGTTACTAAAAATTAAATATATGCCTCTATTTCCATGGGAAACAGCTATGCGAGTGTTTAATGATTGCGTGTGGCCTCAACCACTATTGGAATGCAGTCCCCGGCAGATTTCTACTGGGATAATATGACCCCCTTGTCCCCAAAACAGTTCCCAACCATGCTAAAAATGTGGTTCTCACTTCATTCTGAGAACTTCAGAATTCCATCCCGTTGCAGTGAGTTGCAACGGCTCTTCAGAACTTCTAAGGATTTCACACATTTGGGGGTGGGGAGTTGAACACCCCTTTCTTTACGTACTGCCATAGCAGACTAGGTAAAGGTCAAGGGACCCCTGACCATTAGGTCCAGTCGCGGACGACTCTGGGGATGTGGCGCTCATCTCGCTTTACTGGCCAAGGGAGCCGGCGTACAGCTTCCGGGTCATGTGGCCAGCATGACTAAGGCACTTCTGGCGAGCCAAAGCAGCGCACAGAAACGCTATTTACCTTCCCGCCGGAGCGGTACCTATTTATCTACTTGCACTTTGACGTGCTTTTGAACTGCTAGGTTGGCAGGAGCAGGGACCGAGCAACGGGAGCTCACCCTGTTGCAGGGATTCGAACCGCCGACCTTCTGATCGGCAAGTCCTAGGCTCTGTGGTTTAACCCACAGCGCCCCCTTTTTTTACGTACTGCCATAGCAGACTACATGCAACAAATAGGGAAAATGGCTAATCAAGACTCTCTCCCTCTCTCTTAGGCTTTTCTTCTCTTCAGTCTTGGTTAAGTGATGCTCTATCAGGGTGGATAAAAATCAATGATTTTTTTTTAATGGATTTAAAAAAAAATTAATTGGATTTTTTCATTTAAATTGTTTTTTTTTAAAAAAAAATCTTTTGGAGGAAAAATATTTCTAAAGATAGTTTTCTATTTAAGTTACATTATAGTCCAAAGGCTAGTCATCAGGAAAAAAGAATTTGTTTTAAGTTTTTCATGTGTGCTAAAACTCAGTCTAAGTTGGGGTTTTTATTTTAAAAAATGTTTAACCGCGTCACTTAACAAACATGGATACATTTGCTATAATGTTATTGTTTTAGTTAAATAAACTGTTTAAACTATTATTAAGGAAATGATTATTTTTCTCCTTCCAATAAAGTACAGCAGAAAAGTTGTCCAAATATAAACAGCTAACTTACTAAACCTCACAAAAATGCCATGAACATTTGTCTATGTATTTCTAATAGTATAACCAAATCAGTAATTTTTTATATAACAGTAAAAAAAATTCTTCCAAAAATGAAACCTTCGTCTGGTTGTAAATATTAAGATTATACCAGCAAGAATGAGTCTTTCTGTAAAAAATGATTTAAATCAAGTCTTATTGACTAGTGATTTAAATCAATTTGATTTAAATCAAATCCACCTTGTGCTCTAATGTATTTTCAATGCGACTTTTTCATGTTGCTCTGTTTACTCATTATCATTTTTTGTAAAATCCTAGCAGCAAATATTAACAAGCTAACGCCTTGCAAGCACTAAAACTATTCGCTGAATCAGCCACAGGATTAGAAACATAGCCCTCAGCGGTAATGCTTGGTCAAAATTCTCCCCTGGCAAATTATTCTTTCAGAGCATATACTTCAGAGCTACCCCAAAGCAAAAAGAGCACAAGATCATCATGGATATGTGTGTCTGTGTATCTGGGAAGGTGAGAGAACACAAAGAACTGACTGGCTGAAACAAGAAGAGGGGAGCTTTGAACAATCAGAGACTTCCAGTGTGTTGTGTTCCCTACATGCACACTGTGACCCAAGTCTGATATACTGGAATAGAAAGTATCGTATTCCACACCCATGTGAATGTGTTGACCACTTCGAACAACGTTTGTCATGGGAACAATCTCTAGTAAACAAGCAGAGTTCAGGAATCGGAATGCTAGCATCCCGAAAGTGCCATCTAGTGGCTTCATCAACAGTTTAAATTTGGGGTCAGCAAAGTTTTTCAGCAGGGGGCCGGTCCACTGTCCCTCACAGACCTTGTGGGGGGGCCAGTCTATATTTTGAAGAAAAAATAATGAATGAATTCCTATACCCCACAAATAACCCAGAGATGCATTTTAAATAAAAGCACACATTCTACTCATGTAAAAACACCAGGCAAGCCCCACAAATAACCCAGAGATGCATTTTAAATAAAAGGACACATTCTACTCATGTAAAAGTATGCTGATTCCTGAACCATCCACGGGGCCGGATTGAGAAGGCAATTGGGCCAGATCCCAGCCCCCGGGCCTTAGTTTGCTTACCCATGGTTTGAAAGCTTGAGGGTCAGATTTTCTATACTGCACACCTCTAATTTCAGGAATAAATCACGAGCTGAGCTAGACATCACCTATACAAAAGTGTGTTGATAATAAACATACAAATCACAGAGTGTTCTCTCTAAGCACTGCCCTCAGTATGTGATGACGCTGCACTGTAATGTGCTAGAAAATCACTGAAAAGGCTCTGAAAGAGAGCATTTCATTTCATTTGCAGCCACCTTTATCATATGTTACACCAATTTTCTTTTTTTATTAAAAAAGAACTTTCCTGTCCCCATAAGGATTTTTAATCAGTGAAAGAGAACTCTAACAGGCGCAGAATCCTGAGACCTCACACTCCACTTTGCTGGTTTAAATCAAATTCTTTGTTTTGCTCTCCCATTTAAAGCATGTACTTCCTTTAGAGTGGCATAAATGTGGATCTCAAGGCTAGACCCCGCCGGGGTCACAGCAGAACTGTGTTGTCATACGCCTGCAGACCTCTCCTGTGAGATTTTTAAAGCCGGGAAGCGATTTCCCCATTTCTTAGACAGTGTAATATTAAAGACACATGTACGAAAATGACCAGCAATCTTAAGGGGTGTGCCTGGAAATTTTGCAAGGTGATTGCTGCTGAAAGTCAACCAAATGGGAAGGTTAGCACTGTCCCCATGTATTAGCTGCACTGAAAGTAATGGAACAAACCGTTTATTCATGATTAGTACAATTACATCCCACTTTTTATTTCAACATGGACTTAAGGCAGCAAAGTTAAGGCTTCCCAAGGCTGCTGTATAGCTTGTGCCTTCAGACCTTGACTGGAACATTGCACGTTAAGTCTACAACGTTCAGTGTGCTCACTGTGAATGCTGCCACGCTGAAGTCAACACAAACTTTCTTCTGAGTATGCCTTATAAGATTGGAGAGCACAGGCAGAGATGCAATAACGTGGCACACACTGGGCTGAGGTCTTTTTTCTTTAAGACTCTTCTCTTAGGGATGGATAAGATACAAAGGGCCCTCAACAGCCCTGCCCCACAAAGTTCTTGTTGACTAATCCCACTGCAACAGACTCGACTTCTCCACGCAAATCAACACAACCATCAGTGGATCAACAACTGATGGAGCAAGGAACTTGCTTCAGGGGGTCAAAATCTGCCAACGGATGGCTGGTTCCTGTACAGAGGCATGCTCACACCGCAGTCATAGCATTAGTACAAAAGCTGGGTGTCCACCAGTATGCGGATGATACCCAGCTCTACCTCTCCTTCAGATCAGAACCAGTGATGGTGGTGAAGGTCCTGTGTGAGTGCCTGGAGGCGGCTGGCAGATGGATGATGGCTAACAGACTGAGGTTGAATCCTGACAAGACAGAAGTACTGTTTTGGGGGACAGGGGGCGGGGTGGTGTGGGGGACTCCCTGGTCCTGAATGGGGTAACGGTGCCCCTGAAGGTCCAGGTGCACAGCCTGGGAGTCATTTTTGGACTCACAACTGTCCATGGAGGCGCAGGTCAATTCTGTGTCCAGGGCAGCTGGTCTACCAGCTCCATCTGGTATGCAGGCTGAGACCCTACCTGTCTGCAGACTGTCTTGCCAGAGTGGTGTATGCTCTGGTTATCTCCCGCTTGGACTACTGCAATGCGCTCTACGTGGGGCTACCTTTTGAAGGTGACCTGGAAACTACAACTAATCCAGAATGCGGCAGCCAGACTGGTGACTGGGAGTGGTCGCTGGAACCATATAACACTACTCATAAAGGGTCTTCACTGGCTCCCAGTATGTTTCTGAGCACTATTAAAAGTGTTGGTGCTGACCTTTAAAGTTCCTAAACGGCTTCAGCGCAGTATACCTGAAAGAGCGTCTCCACCCCCATTGTTCAGCCCCAGACACTGAGATCCTCCTCAGAGGGTCTTCTGCTGGTTCCCTCACTATGAGAAGTGAGGTGAGAGGGAACCAGGCAGAGGGCCTTCTCGGTAGTGGCACCCGCCCTGTGGAACGCCCTCCCTTCAGATGTCCAGGAGGTTAAAAAATTACCACAACTTTTAGAAGACAATCTGAAGGCAGCCCTGTATTCAGAGGTTTATAATGCTTGATGTTTATGTTTTTGGATATGCTGAAGCCACCCACAGTATCTGGGGGAAAACCCAGCCAGATGGGCAGAGTATAAAGAAAAAATTAATATTTTTATTAAATATTCTGGGGGAAAGGCAGGGACGGCTCACCTTCAAGGCAAGTCATTTAGAAGGCAACTGTGTGAACCACCCAGCCTGACTTGCACTAATTGTTAATGAATCTGTAAAGTGAGCACTTGGGATGATCCTGGTATATTTCAAGAATACACTTACCTGAAGGTAAAATCAGCTCCAATTGAATCATCATCATAATCCAAATTCTTCTCTGGTGGCAGTTCTTCAGACATTCTCTGCACCATCTCCTTCCTGATAGTCAGGATAAGTGCTCCTATGAAACAGATATAGCAAGATCCTGCGTTATTTCCCTTAGTAAGGACTGCATGCTTAACAGCTCAATCTCAAGACCAGCTACCAAGTGATGTACACAGGTTACCCATTAAAACTTCTGAGGAGGTGAAAGTCTCTTTTGAGTAATACGCCACAAACGGCTACATATACTCCAGAACTCTGACACCAAAGCCACTGCCAAGGTTCTGGAATAGCGTTCGAATGAGACTTTGCTTCTGCAAACACACCCAAAGCTGATCTTCTCATTCACAACTGCCATGTAGTATAACTGCACCAGGACCAGGAAAACAGGGAAGGCACCAAGCACAGGAAAATCAGGAAACGTGGAGGTTTTAGATGAGAGCTAGAGGATTGCAACACTTTAGATGAGAGCTAGCAGGACCGCATATCTCAATGCTCCCCTTTGAAAAAATTAAAAAGAATAGAAGAACTCCTGTACTTATACCAGGGAGAAAGGTTCTAGCATAGCTCTCACTGTGATGCACTAGTTTTTCTACATGCAAGGAGTCTGCATTGTTTCTATGGGGATAAGCAAGAATGAAATCCCTCACCTTAACCTAAAATGGTACAATCCCAGCTGACTGTCACCCACAACAGTCAACGGATGCCTGTTTTAAAGCTCTTTTTGCTTTTAACTTGCTTTTAACGTTTTATGATGTTACTGTTTGTTTTTGGTTTTTATGTTGTTGTAAACTGCTGTGATATATATTTATGATACAGCTGCATATATTTTGATACAACAAACAACAACAAACAAACAAACAAACAAAAACAAACAGGGCTAGACTATTCTTCTCGTCTGCTGTAAAAGAACACGCTGTATCATATGATGGGGCTATAGAACAATAACTTAACAGAATGTAGGTTTTAAGCTAAAAGGTTATCACTGGAGACCAAGTACCAGTGGCAAGGTGGAAACAGTGGTTGTATTCAGATGATCAAATCCTGGCTTAGTATACCATCTTAATAAATTGCCTAATGGTGTACTGTAATAACATGAAGTTAAGCCAAAATATGATTGGAAGACTGAACACCAACTCATAACGTATGTTGGCCACCTCATAGTAAATATTTTGGTGAAAAGCAGCCTATACATTTTACAAAATAAAACACTTTGCATTAGAGCAGCCTGCTGAAGGGAAAATGTAGTATTACCAGCACAACCTGCTTTGAAGTTGTGTTCTAGATTCAAAAGGACTTATGAAAAAGTGATTTCTGGTAGATTGTGCCCTGTATTTCTTGGTCGATCAGCTGGTACACCTTTATAGGCTAGCGCAGGAAATCATCTGTCCAAAATGTATAAAACCAGCCCTATCCCATGGGCTCAGATTAACTGACTACCTCTTAACATGTTTCCGATGTACATTTCCCCTCCGCTGCCTAGACCAAAGGATTGAAGCTATCCAGTACCCCTCCTTGTTCAACTAAATCTCTAGCAAGCGTTTGTCCCACTGCTGCAGAAATTCTTGTGAAATAAAATGTCTGGGCTTCACATGAGCATACAGTGGTTCGGTGCTCATCTCGCTTTATTGGCCAAGGGAGCCGACGTACAGCTTCTGGGTCATGTGGCCAGTATGACTAAGCCACTTCTGGCGAACCAGAGCAGCGCACGGAAGCGCCGTTTACCTTCCCACTGGAGTGGTACCTATTTATCTACTTGCACTTTGACGTGCTTTCAAACTGCTAGGATGGCAGGAGCAGGGACCGAGCAACGGGAGCTCACCCTGTCGCGGGGATTCGAACCGCCGACCTTCTGATCGGCAAGTCCTAGGCTCTGTGGCTTAACCCACAACACCACCTGCATCCCAGCACAATACTAGACCAATGCAAATGCCAAAACTGAAACGTTTCATTTGCTGTTTGTCTAAATTTGGCCGCTGCCATTTCCCACCTGAAGTCATAGAAGTCTGCAAACTCCAGAGCAGCATCGCCTTCCGTGAAGAGCTTGCAGTGGCTTTTGTCGTTCATATGGGCCTGCACAGCTTCCGTCGTGTAGAAGGATTTCCCCTTCTCATTGCACCACAGGCAGATCTTCCCAATGCCAACCTTCTCTCCTGTAGATTGAGAGGAGAAAGATACACACACTGTACTCTCCCATCTTATGCTAACGCAGCGTATTTGGCGGTTTCACAGCATTCCACAGCCCAAATGTTGTTCTACTGTAAATCAGGGATGGGAAATCTGTGTGTTGCTGAACTCCCAAATCCAACTAACCCCGTGGAAGTTTTAAGTCTAGCAACATCTGGAAGACCACACACCTGCTTCA